TGCACAAAACTTAAAAATGGGGAGAGCTATTTTATTTAACCTAAGTCATCTAGTTATGTTCAACTTAAAATTCAGTTAACTGCCATATTTTACACACAAAAAAATCTTTCCACTGAACATTTGAAAGATAATTTGGGGAACCAAAACACTAGTTTACACTATGAAAGGGTCTTAAAATACTATATTTCTATTGCTAAAAACCGTTATTTTCTGAATAAAAAAATCTTTAGCAAAGAATTATTTTTAAGAATAAACACCATACAGCATTATAAACCATGTAACTCTGTACTAGGCAAACAACAGGCAGAAGAGTCCCTTATTTGGGAGTTATACGAGGCCTACAACTTAGTAATTATTAATTTCTTCTCCCAAAGAGCACATCTTTCAGGAATGTTGCTTCTGAACATTACTTCTTCCAGGAAAACTACAAACAATATTCCAACTCTGGTATATTAAAAAGTTTGCAACAAGATAAATCACAAAATATGTTGAAATAAGTATCTTTACACAATACCCTGTAAGTCACCCCATATCAAATCATATTCTTCATGTGCAAAACAAAACCCTCTTCAATAATTCAAATCAATGTCAACATTAATCCTGCCATTACAGGGAAAAGTCCATTTTCTTTTGAGTCCATTTTATTACAACAACAAAAAAACACCCTACAAGAGGAAACAAAAACGTAACACAACTAGATACTTTGTTAGAATAATAAGCCTTTTCTGTTCTAGGGGAGGACCTAACCTATCTTCCTGAAGCATACATACACAAGGTTATTTTCTAAAATACAATAGTACCTTAGGTGTTTTTAACAACTATTTAACAGAAAATGTCTCTATAAGCCAAAACTTTGGAAGTAAATGTTTTTAAATTTACCATTCACATTAAATAAATAGCACAGCAGCAGCATCAAAACAATTATATCCAATTCCCAGTCTTACATTGAGGTTTTATATTGTTTATTATTGTACATAATCAGTCAAAATGCTTCTAACAGATCAGGCACAAATGGAGTTAAAGTTGACAGCTAGCCCCAGCGTGGTGATGACAAAAATAATAAACTGTCTAAAAATAATTCACCTACCCAATCTCTTATTTTTATTTTTTTTTTTTATTTATGATAGGCACACAGTGAGAGAGAGAGAGGCAGAGACACAGGCAGAGGGAGAAGCAGGCTCCATGCACCGGGAGCCCGCGTGGGATTCGATCCCGGGTCCCCAGGATCACGCCCTGGGCCAAAGGCAGGCGCCAAACCGCTGCGCCACCCAGGGATCCCCCAATCTCTTATTTTTAAATAGGGGAGTGTGATTTCTTAAGATCATTCTAAAAAAATCTAAAAAATCTTCTTTAGGTATAGAACTAAAGATAATTTTCACTTCCTAAACAGTCAATCAAAATTTAAATTCCAAATTCCACTGCCAAAATCTGAAACAGTAGGCTCAAACAAACCAAAGCATATGCACTAAAATATTATTTTTTACAGGGCACCTCTACCATCACCAAGAAAGAAGGCAAACATGGATACCAAGGCAAGGATGTATGTATGTATGTATGTATGTATGTATGTATGTATGTATGTATTCTTGAGAGACACAGAAAGAGAGAGAGAGAGAGGCAGAGACAGGCAGAGGGAGAAGCAGGCTCCATGCAGGGAGCCGGATGTGGGACTGGATCCTGGGTCTCCAGGATCAGGCCCTGGGCTGAAGGCGGCACTAAACTGCTGAGGGCTGCACATGTTTTTATTTTAAAGGAAAAAGAATGCAATGGCAAGTTATTATAAACCATGAGGGTGAGCTCCTGTCTTTACCCTGATTTACATACGAGAAGAATGTAGTTCCTCTGAATTATCTATTAAGGGGGAAAAAAGGTTTTGAGGCTAGAAAGAAATAACACATGTTAAAGGCTCCATTGCAATGTTAAAAAAAAAAGTTCATTTCTGAATTGATATTCTTGAAATAAAGCTTAAAATCCGGAATTATAAGCTATTACTAGAAGGATGGGCATTCTGAGTTTTCCTTTCAGACACAATGGCAAACTGTATCGAAAAAATTTAGGTCTGTCCTTCGATATTACTAGCTTACTTGTACAACAGACCAAGTAGATAAGCTACAGTGTTAAACAACTTTATAAAACACTGGTAGAATCAAAATTAAAAGGCTGTTACAAGATCAGGAGCAATTAATTCCAAAGAACTAACAACATAATCTGGGGCTTTTTCCAAATGATTTCAGTGTATGAATTTCTTGCCTCTAACTGCTGGGCCAAGTTCTCATCTTCCTGAATGATTACTATAATCGTCTCCAAAAATATTGTTCTGAATTACAGATTCAGAGTTACCTGGAGAACTATTCAACTTAAATTTACTCACATTTTATTAAGACAATGCAATGGATTAATTCTAAATGTGTTTGATGCTACAAATGGTATAGATAAAATGTTGACATAAAATGAGATTATCTCTACCGAATGGAATATGCTTTTATAATCCTAGTTTTGTAAGCAGTGCCGTGTGTCATCCACATTCTGCTCACTTTTAACACTTACAGACACAATCTCATTCACAAGATCAAAGGTACAGAAATTACTCGTTGAATGCTAAGCCCTCTACTACAGAAACACCCAACATACATTTTAAAAGGACTGCAGCAAGGAGTCAGTACAGCCTTTTAAAAAACCGACACAACCCCCGCCAGGGTGCCCCTTGCTCACGTTGCCTACTTTCATTTCAGATGCTTTCTCCCAACTTAGAAAATGTGAAAAAAGATTTAAGATGTTACACATCCAAAAACCCTTCTAATTAAAAAAAAATTACTGACATACTAAATAAGCTTATATGACCATTAAGAGGGAAGAGTGATGAAAGAAACAAGGCCTGAACACATCAAAAGTGTAATATAATATTTAGACTATGAAGATTTCAGTGCTTCAGCCTATTAACATGGGAAAAACACTTGTCAGTAAAGCAAATGACTGTAAAACAGATCTACAATAGCAATTAGAACAGTACCTGAATCCAAGTCACTCTATATACCATAAGTTTCTAAACATAAGGAAAAAAATTAACTTTACTACAGTTCATTTTGTAGTGATAAATTCCCACTTCAATCTATTTTCTTTCCTAGAAATCAATGTCCTTAATTCTTGCCTATTTTAACCATGAGATCACTGGTTAAAATGACTAGCCATCAGATGTAAGTTGTAGTTTTAAACGACTTTAAGACAGATGCTGTACTCGAATCCAAATAATATGGAATTACCCAATTTCACACTCTTAACCCCCAATTGCTACTTTTAAAATAACAGACATGTTATTAAAAAAAATTTTTTTAAGTAACCTTTAGTCCTGATAGGTTATCAGGAGTATTCATTTTATGTATTGACTGAAATTGGCCAATTTTTCCCAAAAGGAATTTTTCAAACAAGTCAACAAATAGAACTTCATAAACATAAAACTCTAAGAGACACAGTGTAACAACCTACAGCATGGGTTAAGACCCAAAGCTTGTTTAGGTAGAGGAAGGTGAAAATAAGAGCTATGGACGCTCTACACACTTAAGAAATTGTTGGGCTTAAAAAACTCTAAACGAGAGAAAGTTTTTTTTTTTTTTTTAAGACCAGAGCAATGCATGATACATTTGCAGCCCCATAATGCCAACGTAATAAATGCCTCTTGAACAGACCCGCACAGGCACAAGTTTTCCCTAAAGGGCCTGTAGCTTAAACACACATGGAAATAAAAATCGCAGGCAGTAGCCGCTGCAGCGAGGGGGGGAAAAAAAAAAAAAAGAAGACGACTGATCTGCAAGTCTAGAGACCTCGGTTCCAGTCTCCTGGCTCAACAACTAACTCCCAGAGTGACCTTGGGTAAACATTCTCTCTCTCTCTCTCTCTCCAGGCCTCAATTTCGTTATCTTTAAGAGAGAACCTGAAGTCTCTCTCTCACGGTATTAACTCTGTTCCAACTTCATGCGGCTTAGAATAGGCTTCGGGGCGGCCGATAGTCAATGCCAGGAAGAACAGATAACAGGTTAAATGGGTCAGCGTCTCCGCGGCAGAGCTCCGGGGACTGGGGGAAAGGGTGCGTGGACCCTGACCCAGCAAAGCCCGGCGCTGGATTTGGGGGGCGGAGGTGCCCGCGGGAGGGCCGGGGGTGGGACTGCCCGGCTCCCGGCGCCGGCAGGAGGTGGAGTCGAGGTTCTCGCGTGCATTGTCCCCGGGAGGGAGCCATGTTTCTTCCTCCCCGGCACTCCCAGATGGCGGCTGGGGGCGCGGGGCCTCAGCAGCCGAGGGCCCGGCGGCCTGGGGCGGGGGGCGGAGGCGGAGAAGCGGGGGAAAGGAATTCGGGCCCCGGAAGCCCGACTAGGGGCCGCGGCCCGCGAGACGCACCAAGAGGCGGCGGGGGGGGGGGCGGGGGAGGAAGAGCCCCCCCCACCCCCCCCCCCGAGCGACGGTTCCCAGGTCCGCGCCTCCCCCCCGCCACGGGCGGTCGGAGCGAGAAGGCAGACCGTGCCCACCACGGGCCGGGGCGGCGGCTGGCAGGTCGCATCGACCTCTCGGGCCGCAGCCGGGCAGCAGAGCGGCGAGACGCAGGCCCGGGTCCCTCGACCTCCGAGGCCGCGGGCCGACCCAGCCCGGCGCGCCCCGATCCCCGACTCACCGTTGGCGCGTTTGAGGGCATTTTCCGGCCTCTGGAAATAGGCCGGCATCTTGGCGGCAGGCTCGGCTCACCCGGCGTCAGCGAACTCCTTAGTGGCCCGGGCCGGGAGGGGAGACGAAGGGGAACCAGCGCGAGGCTCCACGCGCCTCGCCAGCAGTCGCCCGCGCCCAGCCGGCCAGAGACGGAAAGGAAGGAGCCACGTGACCCCCGCACGGCGGCGCCGCCGCCGCCCAGGCCCCGGATGTAGGGGGGCGGTCCTGCGCGCGCAGGCGCGCTGTCGTCGCGCGCGCCGGCTGACGTGGCGGCGGCGGCGGCGGCGGCGGCGGCGGCGGCGGCGGCGGGCGCCCTCCGTGCGGGGCGGGCACGTTGCGGGGCAGGTGCTCAGGCCCTTCGCTCCTCGAGCGAGAGTCGAGCTGGGAAAGGTGAGGTTTGGGTCGGAGCCTCTGCCTGGCGAGCAGGAAGGCGTCTGCACCGGTCTGGGACCTGCTTTGTGCGCAGTCATGCAAAGTTGCAGTCGGGTCCCATCCGCCCCGGGAACGAGCTGAGCTGAGCTGAGCGAGAAGGCCTCGTCCGCCCGTTTATGGGAAATGCAGCGCGCCGCGGCGGCGTCGTAGTGAGCTGCCCCGCGACGGTCCCCCGGGGGCAGGAGGGACGCAGTAGATAAATCAGTGAGCTTGTTTCATGTGGGCAAAATAAAAAAAGTCGCTGACACAAAGGTTGCCTGGGGAATGGGGACCCTCGGAGAAGGTGAGTTTTGAGCTGAGACCTGAAAGATGGGGACGAACTGGGGACAGTAATCTGGCTTTGCATCATGTTGGAAGATAATGGGAGTGTTGTCGCCTTCACGTTCTGCTGAACATAAACGAATAATAATAAGTGTTCCTGGGGGGGTAGGGGGGATCAATTTCTCAGGCCCTTTGCTACAGCCCTTTATTACTGATCAACAATCTTAAGTAATGTTCGATCATTAACATTATTAACTATTAACTATTAACACCCAGAACCTGAAAGCCATTTGAACTGATTCTTAGTTAACTCAAGCCCTATGAAATTAAGGCGGGTTCAGGAGAAAAATTAAGAAAGCGTCAATGGAATAAATTGTTGCAAATTTGTTACCCATTTTGTGGTAGTGGATGGGACATGAGAACGAATGGCAGAGTTCTCTACGAGGGGACAAGGAACCCACAGTCCACACACGAGAAAAGCATCTTCCCCTCGTTCTTTAGGCCTCAGCAAAGAGGTTTTTCTATTTAGATCTATCACCAAAAAAGAAAGGAAACTCGAGAAATGGAGACACAGATACAAAATACATCTCAAATTCTAGAAGAAAAAAAAAAAGGTTGTTTAAAGATTAACTTCATAGAGTTCTTCCTCCAAAATGGTTGGGCCACTCTAAATGTCTGAACTTACTCCCCCAAGATTAAGAGCCAGGCAGAGTGGAGCAACAAGTACTAAGAAGCTACGGGAACTGTTTTATGGGGCAGGATCAAGAGACTCGTTCCTGTATATGGTAATTAGGTCAAAATTAAAGAGCTAAACATAAGAGCAAATAACAGCTCAGCCTTTTTTTTTTAAGATTTTATTTATTCATGAGAGAGGCAGAGACACAGGCAAAGAGAAGAGAAGCAGGCTCCATGCAGGGAGCCTGACGTGGGGGGGGACTGGATCCTGGGATTCTGGGATCACGCCCCAGGCCAAAGGCAGCGCTCAACCACTGAGCCACCCAGGCGTCCCAAATACAGCTTTTAAATGCTGTAGATAGAAAACTATTTAGTAGGCCATAGAGAAATGTAACAGTAAAATAAAAGGATACCTGACCTAAATAAATATCAGAGAAAGCTTTCCAGCATTCTTTATTTATTCATGAGAGACACACAGAGAGAGGCAGAGACACAGGCAGAGGGAGAAGCAGGCTCTTTGCAGGGAGCCCGATACAGGACTCAATCCCAGGACCCCGGGATCATGACCTGAGCCAAAGGCAGGTGCTCAACCACTGAGCCACCCAGGCGTCCCTCTTTCCACCATTTTCACTCTTTTCATTATCATATCTCAAAGAAGATGGTAAAATGATCTTATTACTCATTACATAGTAGAACTAAAACAAGACAAATACTAGAAAATTTGGAGAAAAAATGAATTCAATATTTCTGAATCTTCATTCTTTTCTCTTTCAAATTAAAGTATATGAAGCATTTGGTAATAGCCAATAATCATTTTAATGCATCGAGTACAATTATTCAGTGTCTAGTACTATATTTGTGAATAGTCTCAACTTCAATAATAAATTTTATTAAATTCAGCCAATAGGATTAAGTACCAGCTAAAGGCCATAATACTGGACACAAAAGATGCAGGTTGCCTATTTTCAAGGAGTTGATGTTTCACTGGTGAAGATGGATGAGTACACAATGAGGAACAAGGTAGGATCTATTCTGAACCAGGAGCAAAGCATAATTACTTGTTGATTGATACTTCACAGAAAACAAGCAACCTGAATATGCTAGAAGCCACTTTAGGAAGTGGTAAAAGAAAGTGATCAGGCTGGTGAAGATTTTTTCTCTATCAAGTTTCTTTTGTACTACCCATGACAATAATTTTTCCAACACAATGTTTGGGAGTTTTGGGTGGAGCAAATAAGACTCTAAAAAAAAAACAATTGTTAGGGCCACAAAAGAAGTACTACATTATACATATTTGCAACATAATATAGTTTGAAATCAAGTACCATGTTTTACAGTTTACAGAATGTTTTCATGTTACTCATTTTGTTTACAAGAATTCTGTAATGAAAAAAAAAATTCTGTAATGAAGTTATTTACACTGATAAACTAACAGTTCCAGAGAGTTAGACTATGGCTCACAGTTACTCCTTCAACAAACTATTATGGGGAGAAAAAAAAAAAAACCATTATGGAGTACATACCCTGTGCCAGGTACAAGAATTAAGCACCTGATAGGTAGGTGACAGCATTGAACAGGACAGACTTGGTTCCTATCTTCTTGGACTTTGCAGCCTAGAGAGAAGAAAGACTTCAAACACTTGCCAGAAGCTTCTTGAAGATGAAAACACCACTCCAGGCCCCCATCATCTTTCCAGATCCGTCTCTCCCCACACTCAGTGTCTTTCAGTGCTTTAAACAGCAGTTTCCCCCACCTCCAACCCAATGAATGCCATCACTTCAGATGAATTATTCTCTACCACTACTCATTCCTTGCTCTAACAACCTATTTCTCACATCGTCACTATCTCCAGAATTCTTTCCTAGTCCCCAGCTTAGTTTAGATGCCAAGGCAGGGAGCACCAATAACATCCTGTCTTAGCACTGATCATACTTCAATGTAATTATATACAGACTATAAGCTCAGAGAATGGAAGCTTTTGTATTGTTCACACTATATCCCCAATGACTGACAGCATTGGGCAGATGAGATACTCTCAAAAAATGCTGGAAAGATGAATAAATGAATCCCCATATAAAGATTTATATAAACCAGTTTCTACTATACCTGTGGGGAAGTAACAAGTGTGAAAGCTCAGTGTGTGTCTTCTTTCATTTATAGAGCATCTAGCTATCTACATGGGGGCTCTCAATCTACTTTAAGCCCCCGCATGCAGATGCTGAAGAAGAAACAATAATGTTCTTCACCCAAAGCTAATTGCACTGGTTTTGTACCAACTGTACTGAAGTTCATTTGTGACTTTCTCAGGTCAGTGTTCAAATATTTCATGTTTTCCTGTACTTGTATATCCCTTCTCTTCTTCCTATCCCACCCATTGTTACCTGACCAACCCCTACAAATACTTCAAGCCTCAGCTCAAAGGCTTCCTCTGCCAAGCCTTTCAGCCAGTGGGGGGCTGACTTAAGTGCCCCTTCTCTTGTGCTCTCTTCTCAAGCCACTGTTACTCAGGCACCATCTCTGGACACTCTGCTGCCCCAGCAGCTCTGTCATGGGGTGGCTCTATTCCTCCTTCAAACCACTGGTGCCTGGAGGTTGATCAATGACTGACTAGCTCCTCCCCCCTAGCTACTTCTAGACCATTCTCTCCTCCCTTAAACTGTGAATATTGAAGTTCCTGCTACCAGACAAGACCCCTGTGATTCCTCTATGTGACAGTCCTCTGTAGGCATCTACAGATTGCCAGGTTGCAACCCCTCATTCCTTGATTCTTTTTTTTTAATTTTTTTAAAGATTTTATTTATTCATGATAGAGATTGAGAGAAAGAGAGAGGCAGAGACACAGGCAGAGGGAGAAGCAGGCTCCATGCCAGGAGCCTGACGAGGGACTCGATCCCAGGACTCCAGGATTGAGCCCTGGGCCAAAGGCAGGCGCCAAACCGCTGAGCCACCCAGGGATCCCCTCATTCCTTGATTCTTATAACTCTCTGTCACTCTCCAACACTACCGTGATAATTATTAGTGGTTTCCATACCCATGTAGATGATCCTGCTGATATCCTGGCCACCTGGCCATCACAATTGTGTCCTCTACTTTACCTCACTCACTCATACACATGGTGATGCCCTAGAGTCTAGACTAAGAGCACACTTTTTTTGTAAAGGGCTAGCTGGTAAATATTTTAGGCTTTGCAGGCCAGGAGGCAAGATCTTCAATTCTTGGAACAACTCTTCTTGCTGAAAGAATAGTAGTCCTTGTATGTATGTGTGTATGTTACATTTAAAAATGTAAACACTAGGGATCCCTGGGTGGCGCAGCGGTTTGGCGCCTGCCTTTGGCCGAGGGCGCGATCCTGGAGACCCGGGATCGAATCCCACGTCGGGCTCCCGGTGCATGGAGCCTGCTTCTCCCTCTGCCTGTGTCTCTGCCTCTCTCTCTCTCTCTCACTGTGTGCCTATAATAAATAAATAAATAAACAAACAAACAAACAAATATTTTTTTTTAAAAAATGTAAACACTAGGGCAGCCCTGGTGGCTCAGCGGTTTAGCACTGCCTTCCGCCCAGGGTGTGATCCTGGAGACCTGGGATCGAGTCCCACATCAGGCTCCCTGCATGGAGCCTGCTTCTCCCTCTGCCTGTGTCTCTGCCTCTCTCTCTCTCAATCTCTCTCTCTGTGTGTGCGTGTCTCTAATAAATAAATTAAATCTTTAAAAAATGTAAACACTAGGGCACATGAGAGAACTGGCTCTGCCTTCTGCCATCTACCCACCCACCTGGTTCTGTACTTAACACTCTGCCTCCCTCCTGTTACCCTGCAGACTCTACTCCTGTCTAAAGCTAGCCTTTTGTACTGGCGCACTGGACTTCTCATCTCCTCTCACTCTAGCCTCCCTGAAACACTTTCTTCACTTGGCTTCCAGGATCACCTTTTCCTGATTTTCCTCTCATCTCTCTGACTCCTCCTCAGTCTCTTTGACTAGCATCTCATCATCTCTCTGACTTCTGAGGTTGAAAAGTCCCAGAGCTCAGCCCCTAGACTTCTCCCCTCCTCTAACTGCATCCACCTCTTGATTCTAGCTCATGGCTTTAAACATCATCTCTGTGCTTACAAGTTATAAAATTACATCAGCAGTGCTCCACCTCCCTCCTGAAAGCCAGTCTCACGCCCTGATGCGTAATTGACATATCTATTTAGTGTTTGACATAGAGCATACACCCAACCCGCCCCAACCCAGACTCTTGATCTTTCTGGCCTCTGACGTGCTCCTCCCATCATCTTCCCCCTGTAAATAATGGCAACTCCCTTCTTCCAGTTGCTCAAACCAAAAATTTTGGAGACATCTCTGACTTCACTTTTTCTGCCACAGTCCCACATCCAATCAGCCCATCAGCCAGTCATGTTTCTACCACCTCCACAGCAATCACTCTGGTCCAGGTCACCATCATGTCTCACCCAGAATATGTGATTATCTGTTCACTTGTCTATTTCCCCTCAGCCCCCTTCTCTTTTACCCTCTACCCTAACAAGCAGGGAGATCTTTTAAGCAAAAGAGAGATGATCATGTCAGTCCCCTGATCGATCAAGACCCTTTTGTGGCTGCCCAGCTCATGCAGTCGAAGTCAAAGTCCTTACAATGGGCCGCAAGACCCTACATAACTCCTTCCCCTCCTCCATCCCTCCCATGACATGCCAGTATCACCTTTTCACTGCTGTCTTCCCTTAGCTCTTTAAAGTAATATAATAACCTTCCTTTCTACCATACTTCCAAGCACCCTTTCCTTTATTTTCTTCCACAGCATTGATTTAGTTATCACCATCTTATTTATATATTTCATGATCTACCCTTCTAGGATGATGGACATCGGCAGCCCGGGTGGCTCAGCAGTTTAGCGCTGACTTCAACCCAGGGCGTGATCCTGGAGAACCAGGATTGAGTCCCGTGTCGGCTCCCTGCTTGGAGCGGGTTTCTCCCTCTGCCTGTGTCTCTGCCTCTCTCTTTCTCTGTGTCTCTCATGAATAAATAAATAAAATCTTAAAAAAAAAAAAAAGATTGATGAGGACAGGGATTCGTGTCTGATTTGTTCAACCGCTGTATGTCTAGCATCTGTTAACAGTGCCTGGCATAGAGTAAGCACTCCATACATATTTGTTGAAAAAAATGACCTCGCTGGTTTAAAGCAAGCCTCCGTGTTACAATGGCCCATCTGCGTGTTGGTCTTCTCCCTGACACTGGAAGTCTCTTGAAGGTACTGACTAGAATAGTTCATCTTGGTGTATGGACAGTACCTGGCACATGGTCAACACCCAGGAAGTATTTGTTCAGCGTATGTTTCAGAGCAGCTTGATGTTTCCAACCATCTGATGATAAACATGTTCCAAAGCCTTACACTCCTCCATTCCTAACTGTGAAAGTGTCCAATGAGAGTTAGAAATCTTTTCAACAATGATGTACCAAGAGCAGATATGGGCTGCACTGTGCTGGGGCCAGGGAGTTCTCACAGAACCTTTAGGTTGTGCAAATTTATTTATTGGTTTATTTAAGATTTTATTTACTTATTCATGAGAGACAGAGAAAAAGGCAGAGACACAGGCAGTGGGAGAAGCAGGCTCCTTGCAGGGAGCCCGATGTGGGACTCGATCCCAGGTATCCAGGATCACGCCCTGGGCTGAAGGCAGACACTAAACCGCTGAACCACCCAGGGATCCCTTTTTTTTTTTTTTTTTTTTTTTGAGAGAGAGGGAGAAAGAGCACAAGCAGTGGGGAGGGCCACCAGGAGAGGGAGAAACAGACTCCCTGCTGAGCAGGGAGCCTGCCCTGGGGCTCAATCCCAGGACCCTGGGATCCTGACCCCTGAATCGAAGGCAGACTACTTACTGGCTGAACCACCCAGGCACCCCTAGGTTGTGCAAATTTAAAGCAGGAAATTGGAGGGCCACCTGCCTGCTTCCCTTTTCCCTCTCCCTCTGTGCGCTCACGCACTCTCAAATAAATAAATAAAAATAATAAATACAGTAAAGAAGGAAACTGGAATGCAGATTCAGTGGAGTATATTTTAAGCAGAAAGATGTCCTGGCAGCATTTGTTATTTATTGGGTGAAATGCATCTTACACTCAGGAGTCTTCACACATGAATATTCTCCCAGACTCCAGGACACGTGTGAGGAGAAGAGAAGCATGTTTGTGGGAATTGGCATATGCAGTCACACATGCCATGTTTGTCATGCCACACAGCCCAACTCCTGCTTGGGAATTTAGGAGACTATGCTGAAAGCTACACAAACCAACTAGGGCCCAAAGCAGGGTGAGTAAGACTGTACAGAGTGGTTTAGGGTGTGGTTTGAAAATTGGCTTCTTTGTTGAATATGTTAAAGATGATTAGAAGGAACTCTGGAACCACAGGGTGTGGTCTCTCATTTTGGGCTTGTGGATATTAGATAATCACATGGACCTTTTCATTGTGTCATCTTCTCATAAAGCAGCTAAAATGGCACCTCCTCAGAGAGCCCCTTCCTGACCACACAATCTAATGCTTGAGACCACCCTATTTTCATTCTCAGCAGAGCACTTATCACTAATGGATAAATTTCATTGTTTCCTTGGTTACCCCCCTGTCTCACCACATTAGATGGTAAGCTTTAAGGGGCCAAGTTTGTCATGTTAGCCACTATAGCTCCAACTCCTGGAACTATGCTGGACACAGGGAGGTGCTCCACATGTAAATATGTGATATGTGAATAAATAAAGGAATGGAGACTGTGATAGGAGATTCTAAGAAGCCCATGAGATTTCCACTCCCTAATGTACACACCCTGTCTAATACCTGAGAATATAAACATGTTGGGGTGTTTCTTCTGTGATTAGATTATATTATTATGTATCATCATTGACTTTAAGAAGAGGTTATCTGGGTAAGTCTAATCACATGAACCCTACAAATCCAGGTCTAGAGGTCCTAGGCAGAGGAAAGAAAAGATTCAAAGCATGAGAGGGTAAATGGAAGGAGCTGCAGAGCAAGGAACTGTAGGTGACCCTGGTAGCCAAGGGCAGCCCCTGGCCCAAAGCCAACTAGTGCATAGAGGCCTCAGTCCCAGAAGTACAAGGAACTGAACTCCATCAACAACTGGGATGAGTTTAGAGGGAGATTCTTCTGCAGAGCCTCCAGAAAGGAATGCAACCTGACCATCACCCAGACTTCAGCCTGGCAACAGCCTGAGCAGAGTCGTGCCATGCTTGCACCTCTGGTCTATAGGGATGTGAGCTGATCAATGGGTGTTGTTTTAAGCCACTAAATTTGTGGTAATTTGTTACATAGCACATAGAAAACTAACACAGAGACAGTTTTCTCCATATTAATTTCTAGAGAAAGAAGAATGAAATACAAATGGAGTCTGAAATTTTTTTTTAAGTTTTAATTTATTTATTCATGAGAGTTACAGAGAGGCAGAGACGCGGGCAGAGGAGAAGCAGGCTCCTTGAGGAGACTCGATCCTGGGACCCCGGGATCATGCTCTGAGCTGAAGGCAGATGCTCAACTGCTGAGCCACTCAGGTATCCCAGAGCCTGAAATTCTAAAGTTACTTTGCTTTGCATGAAATGAAAACAGACACAGCTCAGTGGAAGAAAAGGGCAAGACTGTGTAAAGTTTAACTATACACAAATCGAGGCTGTTCAAGCAAAAGCCCTATAGAAGGAATCTGAGACTACAAATGTGTTATAGTACTCCATGTTTTTTTTTTTAAAGATTTTTATTTATTCATGACAGACACACAGAGAGGCAGAGATATAGGCAGAGGGAGAAACAGGCTCCATGCCGGGAGCCTCATGTGGGACTTGATCCCGGGTCTCCAGGATCACACCCTGGGCCAAAGGTGGCGCTAAACCACTAGGCCACTGGGACTGCCCACGTTCATGTTTTTAGAACTAGGGGGTAAGCTTCATTTCCTAGGGAATGTAGGATTATAAATACATCTCAGATCAGCCCATAAGCATGCCACATTTGGAGCTTCAAACCCCAGCTTTGCCATTTATTAACACTATGATATTGGGTAAGTAATCTCACCAAGCCTCCATTTTCTCATCTGTGATATAGGAAAGATAAGTAGTTTGAGGTTTGAATGAGATACCCATAGTGTTCTTCGCACAGTCCCTCATACAAGCTGTTTAGAAATCATTTTCACATATATACATATAAGAGAAACCAAATAATCAAGGCATGAAATATCCACAGCCTCCTTCCGTCCCCTCAACTGCTAAAGTAGTCTACTAACTCATGGCATTTGTGCCTTGCCTCTCCTCTTTTTCTCCACCAGTTCTTTCTCAGGTACATAAGGTAATCAGTTGGGAGGACAGCTGAACTTGGGCCAGAGATTCCAGCAGGGAAGGGCTGAGATGGGAGAGAGAGAATAGAGGGGTGGGGAAACTCATGGGGAAGAAAAGGAAAGAGGAGAGAGGAGATGGCACAGGAAGAGCCATTTGTGAGAGCAGGGAGAGATTTCAGAATCTGAAATGAATGGTAGTTAATGGTTCACAAAAACACAGAGGGGGCCTAGGCCATTATGAACAACAATTGAATAAGGACGTAAATGGGAGAGGATAGACAAATTTCCCAGAGAGAAGAATTCAGAGTTATGTGGATGCTTTGCCTTGAAGGAGGTGGAGCTTAACGCCCCACTGCTTGAGCGTGGGCCAGGTGTAGTGACTTCTGTCCAAGACAGCCTGGAAAGCGGGGAAGAGGGGCACTTGGGTGGCTCAGTTGGTTAAGTGTCTGACTTCGAATCAGGTCATGATGTCAGGGTCCTGGGATGCAGTCCCATGTGGGACTCTGTGCTCAGCAGGGAGTCTGCTCAGCCTTCTGCCCCCTTCCCTACCCCTTCCTGTGCGTGCTCTCTCTAATTAACAAAATCTTAAAAAAAAAAAAAAAGGAAGGGAAAAAGAATAACTTTACAGGAGAGAAACCTGACAAATACTACCTCAGCCAGGTAATCAAGGTTAACACTTGGATGTACCCTTTAAATAATGTGATGACAGCAGCACCTCTGTGGTCTTTCCTCCCCAAAACACATGATCAGTCATGAGAAAAATATCAGACAAATCCTAATTGAAGGACGGTCTATAAAAGTCCTGGCCAGAACTCCTCAAAACTGTCAAGGTCATCAAACAAAGGAAAGTCTGAGAAACTGTCACAGCCAAGAGGAGCCTAAAGAAACATTTTGACTAAATATAATATTCTAAATAGGATCCTGGAACAGAACAAGGACGTTAGGTAAAAACTAAGGAAAAAATGTGAACTTTAGTTACTAATGTATCAGTGTTGGTTCATTAGTTGTGACAAATGTACCATATTGTTGTAAGATGTTAATAAAAGAAGAATCTGGTTGAAGGGTATGTGGTAGGTTACTCTCTGTACTATCTTTGCAACTTTTCTGTAACTCTAAAACTATTCTAAAATAAAATATCTATCCTAGAGTTTGTACCAAAAAAAATTAAAAATTAAAATAAAAGATAAATAAGATGTCTATTTATAAACTATGAAGGGAAAAAGATTTTAAGACATATCACTGTAGGTAATGAAGTCCATCATCTTTAACAGTCTTTGAAAAATGCAAATACAGATCAGAATTTATCTCAATTACATTGTCTTGCTTATCTGTTTCTTTTAATACAACACAGCTTGAAAGCTGGGCTCTTGGGGCCTGGGATCTACTCAGGTTCCATTATCAGCACTCCTGAAACTGTGGAGAACATAGGAAGGATAACTGTCCCTGGGGAATGTACTAGAAGGCTCACATAGACTGGCTTCCTGTCTATGTGAGCCACCAGGACAGAGTGTCAAGGCATTTGACTAACACCCCTTTCAGAGGTGACTTCTTGGGTCCCAAGCAAGCCTTTAAGAGAGCTGATATCCCAGTGCTCTCTTGGCTGACATATACCTAATCTTTGATTGAGAATGATTAAGGAAAAATGATGAAAAGAAGAGCCAAATTTGGTTCACAGGGACCTGGGAATTAAAACATCTGTAGAAGATGTTGAGGTACTTATCCACATGCCCAGTCAATTTGGGCATTTTCCAAATCCTTGTCAGTGCCAACACATTCTTACTCTTTTCCCAGGAAGCAAAAAACAAGCAGGCTGTGCAAATAAGATGTAGCAGGTCTCAGCCAGTTCTCATTGAAAAGCATTGGCTGTTATCTGTGAACTTGGATTTCGGGAGTGCTCCCACCATTCTTGGAATCAATCAGAGTGACTATCTAGACTACTTGCACAAATGATGGGGTTCATGCCGAATATCTGTTTCCTCTTGAGAGACTGGAATATATGTGCATGCTAGACAGAAGGTGCTGCATGACTGGCCCCCAATAAAGACCTCTCTCTAATGTGCTTCCCTCATCAATAATATTTCACGCGTTGTCACAGTTTATTGCTGGACAAATGAAATGTGTCCTATATGACTCCACTAGAAGGGGGCTCTTGGAAGCTTGGGCCTACTTTCCTTTGGATATCACCCCATGTGCCTTTTCCCTTTACTGATAAATCCTAGCCATGAGCACCTCTATGTGC